AGTCCACTTATAAACCCACGAAGTTGCGTAAGATACCAGAACCCCCTCTCCTTCCTCTTCATCCTTTGATCCCCGTTTCTCCCCAAATTTCATTCTGTATGAGAGGCCGAAGCATTTGGAAGATGGTCAAGGACACTGACAGCAGCAAAAACCAAATGGAAAGATTATTCGCTCTACATTAGATCGGTTCGCGAAGGTAACTGAACATGGTTTGAATCCTTGGCATGTTTCCGTGGCTAGTTACATGAAGCTGCTAACACATAATAATGCATACAACATACAAATGTATACACGCACACACACACACACACACATACACACATACACAGACACATACAAGCACAAGAACACACTGAACAGATGGTGGGTACTAACCAGAAGTACGAAGCCTGGGATCAAAGAGCTTGGCATAGTTGCATTTAGCGCTGAGAGCTTCCAAGTTATATCACTAACATGGAATACCCACACTGACTGACCAGGTAGATCTGATATTTTTGACAATAAATGTGTATAATTTTAAATGTAACTCCAGTGCATTATTATTCCTTTTTTCTCTAGTTTGGTATATGTGCGGATGTATGTAACAAACGGATTCAAATACTATTTAAAAAGTATTTACTTTCAGTGTGCCTTTGTCAAAAGTCAAAACACCTCCCTATACACACTATATTTTTGGACGCACTCAGAAATAACTCTACTGGTAACACGTGTTAGTAACAATTTTCAGGAATATTCTTATATCAATAAAACATACCAGAAGCATCAGTAGGACTGGTTACAGAATCCAAAGTATCCGCACTGATGCCACCAATCAGAGATGCTGTTAATTTAGCTAGACGCTGTCGAGCACTTTGTGGAGCACTGTTGCTACCCGTAGATGCCGAGGATTGCTGAGGCTGAATTTTTTCATGTGCTGATCCAGCTAAAAAATTAAATGATTTAAAAAAAAGCCATTTTAAACAGAAATGAGGAAGCATTTAAATGCCATATTTAAGTAAACTGTGTAA